CTAAAGAGGATTTAAGAATAGAATTTTATTTCATTCATGCACAGAAGTATAAAAAAGCCATTAAATGAAAATGAATATTAAACCAGTGTAACAACAGCGTAACATGATGTCATTGTGTTATTCAAACATCAAAATAGTCTAAATATTAGTATTGCACTACATGTGTATATGAATCAATGAAAAGAATGATTTCTTTTTACTGTATATCATTTTTAGCTCATCTGTCACAAAGTGACACGGTGAGCTTTTGTGATCGTCCGTCCTGCGTCCGTCCGTCCGTAAACTTTTACTTTAAATGATATCTCCTCATAAACCACTAAGCCAATTTCATCCAAACTTCACAGGAATGTTCCTTTGGTGGTCACCTTTAGAAATTGTTCAAAGAATTTAATTTCATGCAGAACTCTGGTTGCCATGGCAACCGAAAGAAAAAACTTCATATATTTTCTTTTAAAAAACCCTAAGAGCTAGAGCTTAGATATTTGGCATGAAACATCTTCTAGTGAATGTCTACTAAGTTTGTTCAAATAAAAGCCCTGGGGTCAAAGTTGGCCCTGCCCCAGAGGGTCATTGATTTTCCCTATATGCATATAGTAAAAACTGAAAAAAATCTTCTTTTAAAGACGTTTTCGGTAGTTTTCTGTGCGCATCGTTATGCGCTTCCAAGAAAGATAATCACGGATAATTACTCTTCAAATGAAGGTCAAGTTGAATAGTATTCGGATAAGTGTTTAAATTTCCGCTATAAGCAAATAATGAGTAAATAATACAGAATAGATATTTCTAAATGTTCAAAAGGAGATCAGTTCAAAAGAATAAGAGGTCGTTTAGACAACATCACATAAAGGATTTCTCCAAGCATTAGTACGACAGCATTGATGATTATTCTGCGCGCGTTACCCCACCCACTAGTGGTATAGTGACGAAAGTGCGTCGCGAATTGATTACTGGCAGACAACTAGGCAAAGAAGTTTAAAATGATATATTTTAAAAGTGCTGAATAAAAAAACAAAATTAATATCTAAGTAATGTTCCGAATTTCATTTTTTTGTTTGTAAATTTCTGAATACTTGCTTACTGTTCGGGTATGTTAGTCGTGTGAAAAAAATAATATGGCCCTAGATATGTTTTAAAAAGATATTCAGTATGATTTACTTAATATAACATCAAAAGATAAAGAAATTTTTATTACAACATGTTTTTGTTGTATATTTGACAATACATTTAGTATAACACCGATATTTCTTAAGAAAGCGTGGTAATTTTGACAGTTGGCATATGCGGTAACCATGGAAACTGCCCGTTTACAAAAAACTAACACGTCAACATATATATTTTATTTCTATTTTTGAATCCACCATCAAATGTTACTTGATATATCAATAATGTAGAAAATTCTATGAAAGAAATTTCTTGATAGCTTTAATTTTTTACAGAATTCATGTTTATTTTTCTAAATTTTTGGTTAAGTTAAAAAGCATGAAAACTTATTTTTTAAAGAAATATGTTCCAATTATCGTTTGTTTTATACAGAACCCTAAGATAAAGCAAGCTTTGTATAAAATTTTGTTTATTGTGAGTGTAATAAGCTATTTTATACATTATTATAACACAGTTTGGCTATTTTGACAATTTTGAGAAATAAGGCTACCATGGAAACTGCCATTTTTCAAAAAATCCAACACGCCAACATATATTTTTCTTTTTCTTTTTGAATTTTTCATTAAATTTTACACAACATACAAAAATTTAGAAAATCCTATGAAACACTTTTTTCAATATCTCTAATTATTCTCAGAATTCATGTTTATTTTTGTCATTTTTTGTTCGGTTAAAGAACATGGAGAACTCATTTTTTAAAGAAATATGTTCAGATTATCATTTGTTTCATACAGAATCATTAGATAAGATTATCTTTTGCATAAAACAATGCTCGTTGTGTGTTTTAAGCTATCTTATACATTTTCTATTCGTTATAACACAGTTAGGCTATTTTGACAGTTTTTAGATATACGGTTACCATGGAAACTGCCATTTTACAAGAAATCCAACACGTCAACATATATTTTTCTTTTTTTTTTAAATTTGTCATTAAATTTTACTCATCATACAAAAATTTTAGAAAATTCTATGAAAGGATATTTAGCATGAAACATCTTCTAATGAATGTCTACTCAACTTGTTCAAATAAAAGCCCTGGGGTCAAAATTGGCCCCGCCCCAGGGGGTCATTGATTTTCCCTATATGCATATAGTAAAAACTTAAAAATCTTCTTTAAAAAAACTCAAAGAGCTAGAGCTAAGATATTAAGCATGAAACATCTTCTAGTGAGTGTCTACAAAGTTTGTTCAAATAAAAGCCCTGGGGTCAAAACTGGCCCGCCCCATGGCAACTGAAAGAAAAAAACTTCAAATATCTTCTTTTAAAAAATCCTAAGAGCTAGAGCTTAGATATTTGGCATGAAACATTTTCTAGTGAATGTCTACTAAGTTTGTTCAAATAAAAGCCCTTGGGTTAAAATTTGCCCCGCCTCAGAGAGTCATTGATTTTCCCTTTATGCATCTAGTAAAAACTGAAAAAAATCTTATTTTAAAGAACCCAAAGAGCTAGAGCTAAGATATTTATTATGAAACATCTTCTAATGAGTGTCTACTTAGTTTGTTCAAATAAATGCCTTGGGGTCAAAATTGGCCCCGCCCCAGGGGATCATTGATTTTCCCTATATGCATATAGTAAAAACTTAAAAATCTTTTTTTAAAGAACTCAAAGAGCTAGAGCTAAGATATTTAGCATGACACATGTTCTAATGGATGTCTACCAATTTTGTTCAAATAAAAGCCCTGGGGTCAAAATTGGCCCCGCCCCAGGGGTCATTGATTTTCCTTATATGTGTTTAGCAAAAACTTAAAAAAATCTTCTTTCAAAAAACCCAAATAGCTAGAGTTTAGATATTAAGCATGACACATCTTCCAGTGAGTGTCTACAAAGTTTGATCAAATAAAAGCCCTGGGGTAAAAACTGGTCCCGCCCCAAGGGTGTCATTGTTTTTAACTACATGTATATGTGTATAGTAGAAACTTATGAAATCTTCTTTTAAAAAACCTAATGGGCTAGAGCTTAGATGTTTAGCATGAAACATCTTCTAATGGGTGTCTACCAAGTTTGTTCAAATAAAAGCCCTTGGGTTAAGATTGGCCCTGCCAGGGAGGGGGGGAGGGGGAGAGGGAAGATCATTGTTTTTCATTATATGTGTGTAGTAAAAGCTTAACATCGTGAAACATCTTCTAATGGGTATCTTCCAAGTTTGTTCAAATGAAAGCCCTGGGGTTTAAACTCGCCCAGCTCCAGGTGCATTTATACAGGTGAGGGACCTCAGGGCCATCATGGCACTCTTGTTGTTTTTGGCATGTTATAAAGAAAAAAATATTATTTTGTGTTTATTTCTAAATTTATAGAACTTGTTAAACTAAACAATACTATGCTTGCCAAGTACACTTTTATGATATGATTTTTTCATAATGTTCAAACAATTCAATAGTTTCTTTTTGTAATATAACAAATAATAATTAAATCACATGCATGTTATGATTTAAAAATGGATATTCCAAAAGAAATTATCACCTATATTAAATAAACAAGAGGGCCATGATGGCCCTGAAGTCGCTCACCTGTATATAGGCCCCCACAGCGGGGCCAGTTTAAACCCCAGGGCTTTTACTTGAACAAACTTGGTAGACACCCATTAGAAGATGTTTTATGCTAAACATCTAAGGTCTAGCTCATTGAGTTTTTTTAAAAAAAGATTGTTTAAGTTTTAACTATACTCAAGTAGTTAAAAGCAATGACACCCCTAGGGCGGGGCCAGTTTTGACCCCAGGGCTTTTATTTGAACAAACTTTAAAGACACTGACTAGAAGATGTTTCATGCTTAATATCTAAACTCTAGTTGGGTTTTTTTTTTCAAATAAGATTTTTAAGTTTTTGTTATACACATACAAGGAAAATCAATGACCCCCGGGGCAGGGCCAATTTTGATCCCAGGGCTCTTATTTGAACAAATTTAATAGACACCCATTAGAACATGTTTCATGCTAAATATCTAAGCTCTAGCTCTTAGAAGATTTTATAAGTTTTTACTATATGCATATAGGGAAAATCAATGAACCTTTGGGGCGGGGCCAATTTTGACCCAAGGGCTTTTATTTGAACAAACTTGATAGACACTCATTAGAAGATGTTTCATGCTAAATATCTTAGCTCTAGCTCTTTGGGTTATTTAAAAGAAGATTTTATAAGTTTTTATTATATGCATATAGGGGAAATCAATGACCCCCTGGAGCCGGGCCAATTTTGACCCCAGGGCTTTTATTTGAACAAACTTGGTAGACACCCATTAGAAGATGTTTCATGCTAAATATCTTAGCTCTAGCTCTTTGGGTTCTGTAAAAGAAGATTTTTAAAGTTTTTACTATATGCATATAGGGAAAATCAATGACCCCCGGGGCAGGGCCAATTTTGACCCCAGGGCTTTTATTTGAACAAACTTGATAGACACTCACTAGAAGATGTTTCATGCCAAATATCTAAGCTCTACCTCTTTGGGCTTTTTAAAAGAAGATATTTTAAGTTTTTTCTATCGGTTGCCATGGCAACCAGAGTTCTGCATGGAATTAAATTCTTTGAACAATTTTTAAAGGTGACCACCAAAGGAGTATTCCTGTGAAGTTTGGATGAAATTGGCTCAGCGGTTTATGAGGAGATGTCATTTAAAGTAAAAGTTTACGGACGCCGGACAAAAAACGATCACAAAAGCTCACCCTGTCACTTGGTGACAGGTGAGCTAAAAATGTTACACTCTTTGCATACATTTTGAGAGAAAGGCCTATACATGTGTATTTAAAAACATGTTTATTTTTTTTGTGTGTGAATCATTTGTTTTACTGATTAGATGTCAAACACTTCGATGTTTTTACCTAGATAACTACTTATACACATCTTTGTCATTTTTGATTACAACTTACTGATCTAATTTCCTCTTTTAAACTATCAACTTTTATAACTTCTCCTGTCAGTTCACCATCACGCGTAAACTGTAAAACATTATTAGAGGCAACTCCAGATACCAGCACACTGCCTGCTTCAGTGAGATAACAACAGTTAGGTTTCTTTAATTGTTTATCATTAAATAATGTTATAACCTGACCATTGTTGTCCAGTACTATCAGTCCATTATTGTAGTCAGCAACATAAATCCTTGTAGCATCCTTACTGACAGCTATACTGAATATAGAAGAGAACAGCTTATGTCCTGATTGATCCTTACTGAATTGATTTAGTTTCCCACCTGACAATGTATACATATATACTGATGTTTCATCTGAAATATATAAATTATTGTTTGCATATGCAAGACCGAGACATTGAAAATCAGTGTTAATTTTGTTTGTTGTTTTCATATTTTTTTCTAGAGAAATGAAATGAACTTCCTGTTTTAATGGAATAGTTAATGCTACTTGTGTGTTATTGATCATACGCACTTGATGTGGATATCCAGGTAGATCACAGTAGTCTGTGACAGTATAGTTGTAACTGTCTAACCGTTTAAGTTTCTTGTTGTCATCAGCTAGAATTATTGTACCATCTTCCATACAGCAGGCACTCCTGATATTACAACTGTCTTTATCAGACTTAACTTTTACATTATATGATTGATTTCCTTTAATCTGAAATAAATTGTCAGCAGTCTTTGTAGGTTTCTCTGATATTGTGCCTATGGTCTTCTTTTGTTCTAACTGTGTAAGAATTGTTCTGTCAAGTTGAAACTCTATGTCTTCTACTGTACTTTTTATTTTGGCATGCTCCATATAATTGGTGGCAACATTTGCAGCATCTTCTCCCATCTTCACATAAACAAACACTTCAGAATGATTTGTGTTTGTAGATGCTAATTTATCATTAGCTGATCTAATCCTGGACTTATTTGCTTGTAGCTGTTTTAAACTGTCTTCGATTTTGTCTTCAAGACATTTGACTTTACTTTCTATCTCATCAATAGAACTTTTCTCCAGCTTGTCAAGATGGTCATTGATTTCTTGACGGAATTTTCTGATGTCAGCCAGTAATTCTGCTTTCCTCCTTAACAGCCTTTGTTTATCCTGTTTAAATTTATCTGCTTGTTTTTTAAGGGTCTTGGCTATTTCCTTAAGTTTTGTTTGAATGTCTCTCGATTCAACTTGGTAAGTATTGTTTTGAATAAATTCTGGTATGTAGAATGTGTCCTTACATAATCTGAAAAATAAATTCAAACAGTTTATGAGGCTATGAGATGACGGAGGGGATGATATATTATTTAGTGTTATATATTAAAGATAGTCTAAGAATATATGTAAAGTACCTATATACTTAACATTCCATGCACTTACTTAAAAAATATCTTTGTTTAAATACATTAGTTTACCTGTGATCAACTGCCATACATGTAGAACAGCCAATACTATCATGGTTCTGACAGTACATATCAATGTGTTTATGACTGTGTCTGTCACATCTCTCTGCTGGTGCCCTTGGCAAAGCGTTGCCGGTTCCTGATTTAACTTGAGATGTATCCAATACCTTGTGACCAGCACATAAAGGCACTTTACTGTGAACTTTGACACAACTAACACAGAAATAATCGTGACAATCTAAACAGTATTTATCACCTTCAGTGTTCCTGCCTTCATTTCTACACATTGAACATAATACGTCAAATATTTCATCCGAAAGAATATCTGTATCACTTTGTCGATCTGTAGCCATTTTGTCTTTTTCCGACTATGTTTGTTGATCTATCAACATTGTAAAATCGATAAAATTGTCTATTTCTTTCACAGTTATTTTAAGTTTAAACATTCATGTACTCTATCATTAAGATAACTGAAAGCCTTAAGTTCTTCTACATTGTACTCCTGGAAAATATCAATTTCAAGATTTTTTTTCCATTGATATTAATTCTCTCCTTTTGCTAAATAATGTCTTAATGATTTAACCTACTTTTGGTTTAACTTATCAAATGTGCCCTTTTACCTCTTTGCACAAAGTCTACCCTTTATCTTGTGAAACATTATCTAAAGTTTATCTTCACTCCCAAAGCAAGTCAGGTGTACATATACACGTATACATTAGTCTTTTGTTGTTGTATTTAGGACACATTCAAAAATGAGCTGTTGCAATATCAAAATTATTTACTTTTCAGAATTCAATTAATAAGCTTTGTTTGGCTATGAGTATTTTTTTTCTATTTTTAATTCGATTTATGTGATGGTTTGTCTATTGAAAGTTCTAATTATAGACCAAGATTTATACAAATTTAGGAAACTTTGAACAACAGGCAATACTTCAGAACATATAAACCGATAAACTATTTATGCTCCCGGAAAAATTTCGGGGGAGCATAAAGTCGCCGCCTTGTCCGTCCGTCCGTCTGTCCGCACTACCGAATAGGGATAGGGGGCAATCTAACTGTAAACAGAACAAAAGAGAACAATAGAGTTCATTCCGTAACAATAGAGTAAGGGGCCATTGGCCCTCTTTTAAACAATAGAAAATAACTAAAGAAATGGCCCCTTATTCCATTTCGGCCGGACGTCCGTCCGTCCGGCTTTTCGTCCGTCCGTCCGTCCGTCCGTCCCCTTTTCTTGTCCGGGACATAACTTTGAAACAACAAGAGATATCAACATGAAACTTTGTAGGTAGAAAGATCTCATTGAGTACGTGTGCAGTGCACAAGAACCGTAACTCTGCCTTGCCTAATTTTTGAATAATTCCCCTTTGTTTATTTTTACACTTTGAACATTGTCCGGGACATAACTCTAAAAGTATAAGAGGTATCAACATGAAACTTTGTAGGTAAATAGATCTCATTGAGTAAGTGTGCAGTGCGCAAGAACCGTAACTCTGCCTTGCCTAATTTTTGAATAATTCCCCTTTACATTGAACTTTGTCCGGGACATAACTCTAAAACTATAATAGGTATCAACATGAATCTTTGTAGGTAGATAGATCTCATTGAGTAGGTGTGCAATGCACAAGAACCGTAACTCTGCCTTGCCTAATTTTTGAATTATCCCCCTTTGTTTATTTTACACTTTGAACTTTGTCCGGGACATAACTCTAAATGTATAAGAGGTATCAACATGAAACTTTGTAGGTAGATAGATGTCATTGAGTACATGTGCAGTGCACAAGAACCGTAACTCTGTCTTGCCTAATATTTGAATTATCCCCCTTTGTTTATTTTACACTTTGAACTTTGTCCGGGACATTACTCTAAAACTATAAGAGGTATCAACATGAAACTTTGTAGGTAGATAGATCTCATTGAGTAGGTGTGCAGTGCACAAGAACCATAACTCTGCCTTGCCAAATTTTTTAATAATCCCCCTTTGTTTATTATCACTTTTTGAATTTTGTCCGGGACATAACTCTAAAAGTATAAGAGGTATCAACATGAAACTTTGTAGGTAGATAGCTCTCATTAAGTAGGTTTGCAGTGCACAAGAACTGTAACACTGTCTTGCCTACTTTTGGAGTTATTGCCCTTTGTTCATTTTGACACTTTGAACTTTGTCCGGGACATTACTCTAAAATTTTAAGAGATATCTGAACATGAAACTTTGTAGATAGATAGGTCTCATTGGATGGAAATACAGTGCTTAAGAATTATTACTCTGCCTTGCCTTATTTTGAAGTAATTGCTCTTTGTTTATTTTTACTTTTTGACTTTTGTCCGAGACATTACTTTTAAACTATTAGAGATATCTACATGACTTTGTAGGTAAGATAGATATAGATTGGATAGAACTGCGGATGCTGTAAAGTATACCTAAATCAAAGCCTGGTCTTATTTTGGAAGTTATTGCCCTTTGTTCATATTTCACTTTGAATTTTAACCAGGGACATAACTCTGATATCATCAGGAAACTTTATAGATGCTCATTGAGTTACGTGTGGCAGTGCAAAAAAAAGGCAATACTCTGCTTACAACTAAATTTGGAGTTTTTGCACTTTGGTCTTTTTCCTTTATAACGTTCCATGAAAAAGCAACCTATCTGCTGGGGAGGCATCACAACTAATTCACGGATTACAACAGGTTATTGTTACAAGATTCCTAGTTCATCTCGCAGGATTCTCTAATAGTACCACCTATACTTTGTATATATTACGCATATCTGTAGTGACGACAAACATACACTGCGTCGTAGAAACTGACTAGAGCAGCTGGTATTAATACTCTAGGAACAAGATTTATGAGTTGAGGCAGATTATAATCAGAGGTCACTTAGAAAATTCATCTGTTTAAGGTTTGACGGTTTTGTCTTATTATTTAAGATGTAAGTAATAGACATTTGCCTTTACTCAATACTTGAGAGTTGCAGACTTTGAATACGTATAGAATATGGAAAAAATAGGTGATTTTGGATTGGAGATGGCAATGTAGACGTTGTTTAACGGGCATTTCACGCGAGGCGGAACGCATATGGGTCGTCAAGTAGCTTTCATCGCAGATTTTGGACACACTCGGGACCTAGTACATATGGATCATATTCACTCTACAGCCATGCTACCATTCGAATTGTCATAGCAAGCAATGACTTCCAATGAAACCATATATCTTGGTACACCGCCCCAGTGACGTGTATGTAACGATGTACTCTCTCTCCATAAAAGCTAAAAGCCTAGAATTGTTATTATTACATGTGCACGTAATCAGGAAAAAGTATGATATTGATACTATAGTTTAATATTAATTTTATATCTGCTTTAATGTTATTTTGTTTTGCAATTGCAGCTTCATACCTTCGGTCATAGAGAGTTATTATAATATGTAATGAGAGATAAAAAGCTTTAAGATAGGAGGCGATATACTAGATGGCATGTTATTGTGACTGACTTATCTCTCACACATTTGTGACATTCATGTTGTTTTAGCTGTTCATCTTTGAGGTAGATTATACACCATCAGAATTTTTATTTAGTTTAAATTTAATCTCGCTCACGCACAGCTAATAGCAGCTAATGTAGACACAGCTTTGGAATACGTTCTGGAACAGAACCTGACAATGAGTGTGTCAGTTTCTGCTAACACATAGAACAAACGATTGCCGGAACAGGTAGCGATTATTAGATGAAAATAGTCGAATGCATGAACAATTGGCATGTTCGCATTGTAATGGAGATGTTTATAGAAAGTTTTTATTAGATGATCTATTGATGAATATTCCTCACTGTATCTATATATAGTATTATTTTGCTTCTGGATATTTTCTGGGTACAAATAAGCTATTAGAGATAGATGAAACAAGACAGCGGGCATTTTCTCTTCTATAAATAGTATGTTCTCGTATAAATAAGTTTTTCATAATAAGATTTATGGGAAATGCTAATTTTTCTTATCTAGGCAACAAGATGTATTTGTTATAGGTATTTATGTTCTTGGATCGTTCTTTAACTCAGATCTTTCTAGTTATACACTAGGAAAATAGCTATTTTTTCGATATAATGCTTAAGCTGCAGAAGCCAGGGAGTGTATTAAAGTCTGCGTCCATTAGTAAAAAGTAATGCTTACATTATAGAGCAATCGCAGGCAAATCATTACGTATTAAATAGTAAATCTCGTGCATACATGTTTTAGTAGTGAGAGAGGGGCACGAATATAGCGATGCATATCCAATCTACTCAATCAGGACAGGGATATCATCAATTTATCCAACATCTACTACATCACTATATCCACGCAGTAGAGTGGCTCGTGTCGAACATGGTAGCTTTACTAAGGTGCAGTGCGTATAGTGCAAATAAGATCTGCAAATACTAGGGAGGTGGGCTCGTGCTTACAGGTGTCAACGCTCTCACCAGGGATCATGGGTTTCAAGGCTCGAAGCGTTACAAGAAACCAGGTTTCATTAACATGTTATGGTCAAGGACTTGAATGTGATTATATATAATGAAGACCTTACTTGAGACATAAAAGGTGAGGTAGTGTTAGAATATAATACTCATACGGCATGTACTATATTTCTAAAACGCAATGCAACGATATCACTCGCTCAGAAGATTAATTATTTTATTAATATTGTATTCAGGCATGGTTAGAACTCTCGAATTCAGGTAAACTAGTCGTCGGGATCGTCCGAGGATGTCTTTTTATAGTCTCAGAAGGCACTGGATTCACATGCCTGTTCATAGCGCTCAAAACTCTGGTTGAAAAACAACCCAAATATGCACTGGCTTACCCGAACGAGTATGATAGCTACCTAGAGTTAGATTACAGTAAATATTAGTTGTAGTTTTTCAGAAGCTATGTAGTCTAATCGTATGTTAAGAAATGAGATGTTGTCTGGTTTGGTTTGGTGATGAGAGCGGTTCTGGTGAATTAGGAGGGTTTGATGGTGAATTAAGCTAATGGTTTACAACTTACTGGGCTAGGCTCGCATCTACAGTGAGTTATGAAACGATTACTATAATGGTTAATAAGCACTAGGAGAGGAGAAATTTGTAGAAGCAGGTAGCCTCAAGTCGGATGAAGACCTGAACGGTAACTCTGAGCTCTTCGGATTCCAATACTTTCCTCTTACTCAGTTAAAGATGAGATAAACAGTTATATATTGTAATCGTCATGACTGATCGACAAGTGTTTGCTAAAAGGTTTTCCTATGATTCAAAAAGCTGGCACTCGAAGTTGTCTGATGTATTTCGTTATACTTGCACTCTTGTAACTATCAAGAGATAGGAGAGAGCTATTTCGTTCTTTACAGGTGTCAATGTTTGATGTCAGCATCACAGGTATCCATAGACTTGCTCTCGCTCACTAAACTATTGCGGCCATAAGGGTGAATTCACGATCCTTATATTTTAGATGATAGTATAGATCAGGGACCGAAACTCTAAGTCTTTCTTACCTTGATATATGTATACGACTATGTTTGAACTTATACATCTCCCGCAATTT